TACATCAATAAAAGCTTTACTTAATATTTTTGTTTTTTTACAAGTAGATTATAAAATACAGTATTGCATCAAACCTGCCTGTGGTCAAGGGTGTAAGGTTACGTATCTTGATCACTTTTATGATTATTGTGGCAATTTTTACTCGATCCCAGATAGGGCAAGTGTATCGCTTGCCCTTTCTGCAAACACCCATGGACCCTAGTGTAATAAAACCAGACTCATAAATTAATTAATTACCTTTACAATCTATATTGAATTTTTGACTATGTACTGTACCGGGTGATTATAATTAAAGTACCCATACTCAACGCTGTCAAAAGAGATATTTAACAATATAGATGGAACTGAGTCTGGTACGGTGACATTTAAAAACATACAAAATATATTTTCGTAGTAAAAAATTAGTCCTATAACTTGCCATTTTGGCACTTGGCTGCAACACCTGTATGTTTGTAAAGAAAGTACAGGTGTTGAAGCAAAATTCTGAATATAAGAATGGCTACAACTGTCGAATTTCATTCCGGTCAATTACAATGACCATTATCTTGACCGTATGCTCATTTATTTTGAAACTGTTTTATGAAAACGTCAATTCTGCGGCTGCACGTTGGGATTTTCTTCATCGTAAGAATTCATGTTGAAGATCATCGATTTTACAATCTGTATGGAGAACGATCACTCGATTCGAGGAAACTGGACATCACTTAAGAATCATTGAAGATCTTACCACGGCAAAGTTATAAAAGGGAGTTTATTGTTTTTTTGCTACTTATTTGAATTTTAAAAAAAATGGCGGATAAAGCAAACAAATCTACCCTGGAGCCGTATTTAACTGTTTGTTTTCGCTACCGCTAGAGGGTCTTTATTTTGAAAATATAGATAAGTAAAATGCTCATTGGTTGTCAGTATCATCTGTCATCGATGACGTAAAAAACCTGGAAANATGTTGAAGATCATCGATTTTACAATCTGTATGGAGAACGATCACTCGATTCGAGGAAACTGGACATCACTTAAGAATCATTGAAGATCTTACCATGGCAATCAACGAATCGTGTTTGAAGTTCCAATAGTGCAGGCACAGTACCACAATAGTTGGGTGTATCCTATGAAGACCCGTAGCAATACATTGGCAACAGAGCAAGTGTCAAGGATACGAGTCGTGAGGAGCGCCAAGTGCATTTCATGCCTCACAAGCATTTATGCGTCGTAAACTAAAAATCTAATGCATTACCAAAAGTGCCAAAAACATTGCTGCGACTCTGATCCTATGGAACAGTATGAAAGGCACTGCAAAAATTTGGTGAATCCGTATAAGATCAGCCTAATTAGCAATTGCTTTCCACTAATAACGATTGATCTCTGCATTGACTTTCTTTGCTAGAACAGAAATAAATGTGTCTTGACCATAGAAGATCCATTGGAGCGACGAACAACAAACATTTTTCACCTCAGTGGAATAACAAATACCCGTAAATATATCTACAGAATTATTTTTATTATTTACCAGTTTCTCACAGAAAGTCCTCCCGGGAGTCATTCTCTTCGGCAAATCGCCCATAAACAAATAAACCATACGATTTAAGCATAAAACAAACACAAAACTACAGAGATCTTTATTAATTCGTAATTATTGTTATCATAATCGCCGATACGTGAAGTAGGTGTATTTGGTTTCTGTATTGTACAATGCGAAAGCGAGATGTTATCATTAACGATTATCCGTGGCGTTCCTAGTGTTTTGATTACATTCGGCCACTTGTTTATAAACGACAAACACAACACGGTTATAAGTGGGGTGTGACAATAACGTCATACGCGGAGGCGGATTTCGTTACGGTGCAGGCGAGTTTTCTTCACCAGGAGGCGCTCTTTCGTTCGAAGCGGTGCCGGTTCTCCGGAACACACACGCGATTTTTTTTAAGAAATGGATTTCTTGCGACGGAAGAGCGTGCGATTTTCGTCGCGCGACCGGTAAATTCGTCTTTCTCGCGCCCTAAGAAAGCGATTGTCGTTCTAGATTTTAACACGCTCTTCCGAGAACTAACTGAAACGGAAAAATATGGCGCTTGTAGGGAAGGGTCTTCCTCCTTACTCCTACCTTCCCGAATTCTCGCTGGATCGTCGTTTCGTTCCCGTAAATTCGGCTGGATCCGCGACTCCTTCCACTAATAAATAAATGAAGATCGTTCGATTCGATTTGCCCGCTTCCTTCTAAAAACAAAAAGCAACACCCGAAGAAAAGACTCGAAATTCCATTGACCTCTAAATCAAAATAATATTTTCGTCGTCGCTCGGCGACGAGAATCGGATCGATAGGTATTTATTTCTCCAGGAAACGTCGCTTAATCGCGCGATAGATAAGAAAACGATAACAGAGACGAAAACAAACGGCAAGTAATTATTATCGCTCGACGCTTTTTAAATAAGTTAATTCGCTAATCCCTCTCGGAGGACGCGTCCTTAAACCCCCCAGATCTTACTGTAAACAATCGTTAATAATTACTGCGGAGGTAAGGATCCGTGTCCCCCCTCCCGGCGGGTAGGAAGCGATCGACGCCGTTTCCCCCGCTTTAAACGTGAAAAATTAAATATTAATTTTGTTCGTTAAAGACGTTCGACGTAATTAAAATTAATCGAAGGGTAACGGTAAAATAACCGTAAAATTTTAATTAAGATAAGGCCGTAATTAATCGACCCATTAGCATAAGATCCAGTCACGATTTTAGATTGACTCTCTCTCTCTCTCTCTCTCTCTCTCCCCCCTTCTCAACGCGTCGATCGAGGACGACGCGCCATTACTCCCCTCGCCTCTTCCACTCCGGATAATCGAGTTTCCGCGCCGGAAAATCGCTTAAACGGAAGGAGTAGGGGGAAGCCCGCTTTATTGGCTTCGGGATCGATGCCGTTAGTAGCCCTTCCGGTCCTACTTCCGGTGGGGGGATAACGCCGGTTGGCGTCGGTCGAAACGCGTTACTTATCTCCCGTAAATTTCAGTCGGAAAACAGATAAATCGGCGATAAAACTAAAGACGACCTTCGCTCCCGCCGCGTCACTGCACGTGCATAGGTAGCGAAATTAGATAGGGGGAGGAAGGGATCGCCGCCCGACCAAAACGCTGATTTTCTACTTTTGCGGGCGGGTAAACATCCGGACGGACGAAATAATTCGGAATTTCGAAGAGGGTGGCGAGTCGCGGGTTTATTAATTCGTTTAAAGTTTCTTCTTCTTCTTTCGGTCCGTCGACGTGCCGTCCCCCTTTGGATCCTGGGTGTTTTGTCTCCACCCCCCGACTTAACGTAAACTCTCGGAAACCATTTTTATATCGGACGAGTTCGAGATTTATCTGTTTGTTGCACCAAAGGGAGAAAGAATTGCCGCATTTCGAAAGAAAGCGGTAATTGGTCACGTGTCTATAAATAGGTGTCTTACGCCGTGTTTTTCTCTACCGTTATCGGTACCTCGACCCGTTGCCGATAAGGTTCCTTCCGTCTTTAAATCCGGTCCGTCGTACGAAACCTTTCTCCCATTTACTTTCGACGCTCGACTCCCGTGCGGGTGGCCCGGGGAGAACGGAACTTCCGGCTCTGTCACGTCTCTCTCTTCCGGCGCCGAATAAATTTCCATTCGTAAATAACGAGACGGATGTCGAAAGTGCCGAAGCGCGCGCGACGCCGTAGCGTTTTCTAATTGACCCAATTCGCGTCCTGCGATAATCGTCCCTTCGACCTCGCCTCCCCCTCGCACTTTCTCCCCCCGTCTCGGGCTTTCTAAACTCGCGAATTGTACCGGGTGACCGTTTCCGAAAGCGTCTTACCTCCCCGGAAGATCGGAACCGGAGCGATGGAGCGTGACGTCAGTTCGGCACGCGCTCCTATTTTCTCCCCCCGGACCTAAAGATCTTCGCCATCGCGACCGCGCGACCGCCGTCACGCGGATCGAGCGATAACGTCGCCGTCGCTTCCCGGAAAAAAGTCTTTCCCCGCGCTAAATACGGAGCGAGAATTTTACTCCAAACCGGAATATTTGGTGGGGAGGGGAGGGGAGGGGACGGGGCGCGCGCTCCGCGGATTTCTGCGAAGGAGCGCGCGCGATTGGCGTTCAAATATGGAAAGTCTTGGAAGACGTTTACGTAACCGAATTAATGTTTCCGTTTCGGAAAATCCCGCCAAAGTTTACGCGCGATATTAATTTAAATAATAACGTCGTCACTGTGACTTGCAATCGTCGCCTCTTCCTTCCCTCCCCCCCGCCGGTCGCATCTCCGCTCTTCCGCCGGAAGTGCGCCGATGAAGGGTGGAGAAGGTGAAAGGTAAAGACGAGTCGGCGCCCCGGAAGACGAAAACGGGAAGGGGGGAGGAGGACGTGACTGGAGACTGGAAGAGGCGTCGTTAATTCGCTGGGACGACGCGGAATCGCATCTAGAATTAAAAGGTGATAATTAAGCTCCGGCGCGAAACTGCCGAAGCGGCACTATTATTATTATATAATTAGAAATTAGAAGTAAACAAAAAACAAAAAAGCTCCGGGATTTCCGCACGCGCCGAATGGGGGGGAGAAGGGAGGACCGTTTCCTCCCCGGGTCGAAAGTCGGGGACGCGTTCGAGAAGCTCGGCGGTCCGGTTAATTAGTCGGCGGGGGGGAACGGATGGCGTTTAGCAGTGGAGGACGGGGAGAAAGTGGGTCAGAAGGCGTCGGTGACGTAAGGGACGACGTTACCGGCTCGGTCGGACCGAGGTCGAAGGACACCCGACGGCAAGGTCACTCCTTTTTCTCCCTTTGGCCCCTTTAGATGACGGTAACCTCCGCAGTTTCGTCATCCGTGCGAGTAACGGGCGATTAAAGTTCGTTCGAAACGCGTTACGGCTTCTTACCGCGTAACGCGAAACTCTCCATCTGTCGGAAGAAAGTTAGAAGATGTTGCCCTTCCTTTCCGGGTAGAAAAACGCCTTCCCTCTTCCTCCCCCCCCCCCTGCGACAACGTGACGGACAGACGTCGCCGTCGCTTCCGAAATTATCGCAGAGTTAATAAACACGGGATTTTCGGTTTAATCGCGCGCGTGATTAGTTTCTGGGAAGGCCCGAAAATACGGCGAAGGGGAATCGAATAAAGGAACGTCGCGCGCCCTTCGCTCCGATTATCTCGCCAGTCGTTTGATAAACTCGCGCCGTAAAAATCGTATTTGTCGTCATTGGACGAGAACGACGCTAGCGCTTCGCTCGTCCCCTCCGTTTGTTGGGTTTCGCCCGTCCCGCCTCACCGCGCCGGCGCGACGACGTCACCGCTTCCTCCGACAAATAATCGCCGCCTGAAAGCGTCCCCTCATAACTCGGTCGCACTCTCGGAAACTCCGACGTCTCGCGGATTCCTACACAAAAAGCGCGTGCTACCCCTGGGCCATGACGGCCGAAACTAGCAAAGGACGAGTCTTGGTCGTTCCCTACGACTCCGAGGTGAGTGTCGCTCGTCTCCGCTCCTAAATAATCGCGCGATCTGTCCGTCCGTCGCCCGTTTATTATTCGAATTTTGTCGCTTCCGACGTCGCCGGGGTGGACGCGATTTAGCCGTGAAGGTATCCTTGGATATCGAATAACTGGAACGCGCTCCAATTTTACTTTCTCGCTTCCCCCCGGACGCAGCTCCGAAAATTTCCGGATTTGGCCCTTCGAATCCACCTCGGTTCGACCGGGAACGTTTTTCTTCCCCCCGTCGCGCGAGGGAGAAATTTCCCGATCGGCGATAAAGAGTTGTCGCCTTATTTGTCTTCGATAAGACGCAAACAATTGCACAAACGGGGTAGAGTTACTCACCTTAGAGACGAAGTTATGACGAAACAGGAGACGACGGACGGTAAACAATACGAGAATAATTACGACATTCGAATTAAAAATAAGAAAAGGACCTCTAACGAAGGTCGAAAATCTGGTGGAAGAAGCTTTCGTTCCGGGTCCGAACCCCCTCCTCGCCATTCCGATCGCTAATTATTTTCCGGATTACAGGAAAACACATACGACAATCCCGCTCTGTCATCGGAAGGATCGGAAGAAACGGAAAAGAAGAGTGACGTCGACCGTTACGGAACGGATTCCGGTTACGACAGGACGGATCGTAACATTTTCGACTGCACTGCCACCGCCTCTCCCGTCTCGCTGACCCCCAAACTGTTGAGTAGACAATGCCACGGAGCGGCTCTTCCCTCTTGGTATCGACAGAGGAACTCCACCCCCAGCACCTCCAGCGTGGGTGGAGATCTGGCGGTGGACGACAAAGATCGACTGCTCAGGTTGGTTTTTTCACTTTTTACTTTACCTGTCTCGACCTCCCCCCCTTTCCGGTCGAAAAATCTTTAAAAAAATTTCACTTTCAGGAAGAACCTGACTTGCCTCTTCAGCTTCATGTACGCCATTTTTGTGGTGGTTTTGGGAGGGATCGTCTACATGTATAACAACGAAGGACGAAGACACGTTAACGAGGTGAGTCTTCCTTCCTCTTTCTCCATTTCTTCAACCCCCGGAGATGTTTAGAGTGACGATTTCCCCTCTCTCAGATGTTCAGCTCGTGCGTGGCCTGCGTTGGAATGTCGTGGTTGCTCTTCCTCCACTTCGATCTGAACAGATACAAGAGACAGATCATCAAGGAAATGGGTTCTTTCGAGGACGCCTGCTGCGAAAACGTGGACAGGATCAGCGCCAACACCGAATTCGTTTTCAACTTCTCTCCCCCCACGACCAAGCATTCCTCCTACAGATTTCTCCAAGGGAGACATAGCGGCAGTTTCTACTTGAAATGCGGAATGGCGGGGAAGTTCGGTGTTTGCAGACGAATTATGGGTCGAAATTAAGATTGACGTCATCGAATTCTATACGTAGCCTTCTGTTTCGGACACCTGATCCACGAGGGCCTCCAATTGGGGCAGCAGATACCGCACTTTATGGGTTCCCAACTTCAGAGACTAAACTGTAGTCAAGTCACCGCCGTCATTCTTCACGTGGTCAGACCGGTTTACTCCTTTTATCAATTATTCATGCTCTTCAAGTATTCCAACGTGAGTAAAGTTGCTTTTTCTACCTTTCTAAAACGACTCTCGAACTGTCTAAAACGGAATCTCATTTCAGATCGTTATTAATCGTCACAAGGTGCTGGCCAGGTTCGGGTTGATGCACGTGATCGCCACCTGTCTGTGTTTCTGGTTCAACACTATCGTGGAAGACACGCACGAGTATTATCAACACAAACAAACGCTCAAGTATGGTTTAAAAATCAACGCAAGTCTGCTAGGTAAGTAAATAACCCGTTTCTAAACGTCATTTTTCCACTTCCGCTTTAACTCTACCCTCTTTTGCCACGCAGACATCTCCAATCAAGTGTTGTTAGAGAACACCACGGATCACGAAAAAACGATATTCTGCGCGGGAAAAACGGTGCTGTCCACCTGGGCCTTACAGGCTTCTCCGTATCTCTATCCTTTCACCATCGAATTCAACCTCCTGTTGGCCGGGGTGTGGATCATCATGTGGCAGAACATCGGACTGGAGACGTCGCGTGCCAAACCTCACCCCTTCCACGCCAAAGTTTCGACGGGGACCGACGGAGCCGAGGACGTCACATACCACAGCAATCTAGTCATCAGCGCCGACTGCCACGCCTCCAACAAGGGCTTATTCGCGGGCCTTTTCGTCCTCCTCATCACCATAGTGTCCGTCATCATTTTCTTCGTGTCCGCCTACAGCGAAGGATACAGGAGCACGGCGGTGGCCATCCACACCACCCAAGAAGTGGCACTGACCTCGCTGACCCTCCTGGCGGTGGTGGTGGCCTACCGGCAGGTGTCCAAACTGGATTTCAACCCCCATCCCATCACCTTCCTGGACGACCTCTTGCTGTTCCTTCCGGTTCCTTTCTTCTTCGTCAATTGCATTCTGTCCACGTTGGCGGAGTTTTCGGTCGGAAACTACCTGCGGACGTCCGTGCACCCTCTGATCATGCTGCAGGTTATCGTGCAGACCCCTTTAGTGGTGGACGGACTGAGGAGGTGCAGCAACACCCAGTCTCTGAGGTACAAGAAACCTGGCAGAGAAATCGTAACTTTCCTCATCATATGCAACCTGACCATGTGGATTGTCGGCACTTTCGAGATCAGGAGCGTCGAACCCTTTTACAGTCAGGGATCTTTCTACGGGGAATTACAATGGCTACTGATAGGTCACGCCACTCTACCCCTCATGCTCTTCTACAGGTTCCATTCTTCCGTCTGCCTGGTGGACATTTGGAAATCCGGATACGAAAAAGGGGAGTGAGCGTTATTTATAGAATACCCGAACGATTTTCTGAGAAAATCGTCGGCCCAAAGAAAGACATTTTGTATCTTAGTGTTTATATTTATATACCGTAGTTTTATAACCGGATGTACCGGTACCGGCTTCTACTTTATACACTTATTAATTTAAATCGCGTTTCGCGTACAGTACGTTGGTTACAATAAACAAGAATTAAAAACTACGCACGCTCCGTCTGGTGGTCGCTAGCGTCGACACATCCGTGACGTAATTCGACCACCAAACGAGACCATCGTTTTTCTAAGAAATGTTCGTAAATTTTAATTTTTATTTAAGAAAATTGGGCTAAGAGCCAATTCGATCAAGAAAAAAAAAAAAAAAAAAAAAAAAGGTCCAGAATACGAAAGCCGTTTGATATAAATGGCGACTGCCGAAGATTTTCGTCTTCCACTAGAGGTCGTTGACTCTTTCTTTCGTAGTGTTGCCAATTTAGCTAAATCTGATTAATTTTGCATTTACATGTAAAAACTTATTATTATTTTTATTGTCAATATAGAGATTTAGCTGGTTTTTTTTTATTTCTTCTAGCTACAAAAAAAATTCAATGTTAATATAGCACTTTAGCTGCTTTTACATTAAGAATTCGGAGGAGTCTGAGGTCTTTTCGGGCAGCATTTAATTGTGGGAAATGGGCGTTTTGTGTGGGAAGGAAGACGACGAGATTATCTACTTCATTTTCGCTTGGGCGAGACTTACTTGTGTTACGTTTCGCTACGACTCCGCAACGTCATAAGGCGAGAAATAAGTTTTTCTTCTTAAGAAAGTCCGATCGCCGTTGGCAGAGGAAAGCAGAAACTGTATTCATTTCCCACTGATACGCGATTATCTGATTAAAATATCGCCGTGTGAAATGACTAATAACTTTTAATTTTAAAAAATTTAATCGAGATAATGTTAGGAATGTATAAAGATAATTTACGTAATGGGGTGATTACGAACAATACTTCTGGATTTCTCTTCCGCTTCGACCATCTGATTGCCGTTTTAATTTGTTCCGAAGTACGGCCCACATTATCAAATTAAGTTTTTAAGTCGATGTCGTTACAATACGCTTATCTTTAACCCTTTACGTCACAATATTTTAACACCGACGACGTCATAAATGTCATTTCGGGTCGTGTAGCGATTGTCAGACTCCCCCTCCCGAAATAAATATTCAGCAAAACACGTTTAAATTTTATTTAAAATGATTCTCTATAAGAAAAATATTTGTAAAATAATTCTTTCGACAATTTATTTTGAAGTTTTTCCGAAGTGGTATGAAAATGCGAGAGCAAAAAATATACAAAATGGCGTCTAAAACGCATTCTTGTCAATAGTTAGTAATTCCGCCGATAGGTGTCAAACAAGTTGTAACATGTAATAATTTAAGTTTTTTTTTTTTCTTTTTTTTTACTTTTTAAACAATTATGGTGTGCATTATTTATTAAACTGTGTATTTAAATTTAAAAAAAAAACTATTAAAGATACTTATATTATACGGCTTAATTTACGTTATAGTTTACGCACAAAAATATTTCGAGGTCCGGTATGTTACTTATTCCATTTACCATGCAGCAAAATGGCGTCATATTGCCATACACATAAATTCAACTTTAGTTTAAATTCGAATTCGTGCACAAGAATTTTAAAACTTGGCCGAGATTTACAAAAAGATATCTGGGAAACGGGTCTTTCTGTCCTGTGCCAACTAAGTGGGCATTCTTCTAGGCCCATCGTGGGTTTGGCCAGGCCCACAATGGGGGTGTGAAACGGAGCATGATATAACCGGGATGGATCGCTTATGAAAGATTATTGAAGTTTCGTTTCCGGGTTCGTCAGAACGGTAATATGGCGTGTTTACCGCTTGGTATGTATTGTACTGTACTTAAGTGGAATAGAAAAGTTATCGATGATCATGATGATATTAGCGAGATTTAATTGCAAATAAGTAGAATAAATTGATATTTTAAAATAATGTAGGCTTAAACGGAACTACAATATGTATTTCCATAACTAACTCGCTTGAATTTTCAGAATATGGAAAGAAAAACGCGCGTGTATTAAAAATACATTCGTGTGTAAAAAGGAAAATCTTAATTAATTTGTCACTTTCTCGCGTAAGTATTGGTATTTTTCACCTCTAGAAAATAAGCATGTAAATAGTTATGCACTTCGATACAAAAAAATTTCGCTTAATTTAAGTATCGAATTGTTATCTGAATCTAGTTATAAACAAGCGTATTATATAGATATTAAAGGTTAAGCTATATCAAACAACTAAATGATAAAAATTAGACTAGTTACAAGTTAATTAACACACACATATATATATATTATATATAAACTGTAGTTTACAGTTAACTATGTAAAGTTTAGTTATATCTTCCTCTTTTCTACATTACCACGCTAGATACGTTGTCGGGTTTAAATTAGTGTTGCAACGAATAGTATATATTCGGCCTCAGGCCGAATACCGAATATTCGGCCAGGAGCGTGGCCGAATAGCCGAATATTCGGCCAAACTATTCGGCTCGATTAACGCACGTACGAAAATTGGCGCACAAATCGCATTATGGCAAGAATCTTGCTCTCTATTGGCCCGCTGTCACTACGCTTCGCCAATCGCGTTAATTCTTGACAGTTGTAGCAGACAGACAAGAGCGTCATGGCAGTATGTGATAAATGATGATATCAAATGCGGATAACAATGAAATGACCTAAACGTGTAAATAACGGAAAAAGAACAGAGAAGGACGAAGTAAAAATGTTAAAATAAATATGAAATTGATTTGATAACATAATCGAACGAGTCGAAGCAGCTTATTGGCACGAAATTCGCGGCCGTCAATGCCAAACAATTGTTGTCATAGACTTCGGAAAGCTAAATGCTTGTAATGAAAGTCACTTAGCGTGCACGGGCGAAAGCCTGGGACCGTTCGGGCTACCAAGCTGTCTCGAATATGTGAAATCATAACTGTGACTTATACCGACGTCCTATCTGTCTCTTTTCTCCGTTATCACCATGCTATGAGTCACGTAATTATAAAATGGAAAAACTACGACGGAAAAGTGACGAATCGAAAGTATCGTGAGCGCGTATTATGATGTATGCATAGGCATACGTGGACTAGAGAGATAGAGGAAAGAGCAAAGACGAGCGCTTAAAAAGGATAGGCAGGATCAGACCCTCAGATGTGCGAGGATTCTCCAACGATAGGCGTGTACGTGTGCTGATCTTTGTAATTATAAATTGTGAATACCTGAGACTAATATTATGTTTTTTTTTTTTTTATTTTGTGCATGTTACAAGTTATAAATAGATATAAACAAACAATAGTAACCGAATATTCGTTACATCACTAATTTATATTGCTTAAACGTGGTTATCTGTAGTATCACACTTTTATGTGTTATTGTACCAAAGATGCACACTTTTGTGCACACAATTTTGTGCACAGTATTTGTGCACACAATCGCATTACCGTGCTATTCTTTTACTGCTCATCATCACGCCATTACGCTTTGTATTTAAACTTTCGTTATAATTCAGTATAATTTAATTTGTACCATTGTATCTTCTGTCTAGTTGTGCCTGGCAGTGCTAGGCATGTATATATTATTTTTTCGTATCTAAATAAAGAATGAATATATTCCATGAAAAGTTTAGCGAAGAGATTTCACAAATGAACATATGCATATCACGAATACAGAAACACTTTGCAACTATTGCGGATTAATTTTACATAAGTATTTGTCGTAGAAAAAACCAATAGACAAATTGCACGAACGGGAAGACTCGCTGCGGCAAGATCGAACAGACTAAACGAATGATCGGAATTGATTATATCTTCAACGATCGGCTTGACAGGAAATATTTCTCATTATACAGAATGGAGAGAAATAATCCCACAATATAAGGGAACAATTTCGAGTAATTACGGGCAAATTAGTGTTTATAGATTAGATTGTTGCTTTTGCGAAAATTACAGGTAACCCCCGTATAACACGGCATTTCTATAGCACGGATTCGCTCTAACACGGTTCGAGAATTGGGAACAACCCCCGTATAACACGGTGGTTTTACAGCACGGGTTCACTCTAACACGATTCGAAAATTGGGTAAAACCCTCGTACAACAAGAAATGTAATAAAAGGTGCGTTCTTTTATACTTCCGCGTAACTCCGCGCAAGCATTCTAATTGTTTTCCTTGGCTACTTTGAATGCTCTTTCAACAATAATCCATTTTATGGTTAAATTTTACAATTGGAACCCTTCTTTTGCCTCTAAAAGCTCATTTTAAAATTATAGATTCCTTCATCGTTCCTAAATGCCTACAAACAGCAGCGCACTCCCGTTGCAGAACGACCGCTATTAACGAATGCACCCAAAAACTGTTACCAGTTGATGATGCTCATGCTGAGATCATCATATAAGATGAATAATCCTCTGGTAAAATATTTACGTAAATAATAAATAAGTATTTTACCTATGAAAAAAATGAATAGTAAATCCGATTTAAATAAGGATTTAACAGCATGTTTTGGAACCTAACCCCCCTTTTCGCTCTAGTTCTTTGTTTGGTATAACACGGATTCGCATAACACGGCAATTTTTTGGAACGTAATTAGCCGTGTTATACGGGGGTTACCTGTATTGTGTTTTAAGTTTGCGGGTTCTGTTATACTGTATATAAAAGAAGTAAAGTATGGCGATCAGTCAAAAATGACCCTTCGATATTTCTATATTTTGGATTCATGGGACCTCGAAACGACAAGAAATGCATAAAAACTCGTGGGTTTTCTGTACGTATCGATATAAATGTGTGTGTTGCATCTATTTCGTTTAATATCTCAGAATGGGCGTAATAATTAAGAAACGAAATTTGGCATGGTAGCTTGCGTAAGAAACATTGCTGTTATTAACTTTTGGTACATAAAGGTCTTCTAGACTCTAAAAAATGGAAGTTAGAGGTGGGCCATATGTCATATCTCGAGAGTAATCAGACTTAATGACGATTTTACTCGTTATTTACCATATATATACAGTTTTTAAAATAAAATCACATAAAGCCGGGAAAGTTACGCAACTTGTTTCTAGATTTTTTCTCTTCTGGAAATTTCACTTCTATTCGAGTTTGTTCTTTCGTGACAAGCAGTCATCTTTTCATGAGGAAAAATGAAAGACTCGATGTTTGAATTTCGCTTTTCGGATGTAAGTCATCTAGGCGCTTACATATGGTTTGATGTTCGAATATACAATTATAGCAAAAAAGACAAGTTGTGTATTTATAGTAAACCATTTAACTATTAAGTAATTGATTGATCGAAACATTGGCTTATTGGGAAGCCTGTAAAGTTTATTTATTTTTTACTTTCGGAAAAACGTCGCTAACCCGAAAATACTCAGCTTTTCCCAAATCGAAAATGAAGAAGTTTTAGTTTTTAAAAGAATACGACAAAATTACTAACTTATGAACTATTTAATACAGTGGTTTACAAACTTCTCAATTGGCGGGCCAAATTGAGCAAAAATCTTGTGCGGAGGGCCGTAAATATTTCCTGTATTCCATATGCAGTATGATATGCCAGCTTAAGTGTTGTGTCAAATGTGTCGGCCGGCCTGATTTGTCTCTGACGTACAGTACCAATGGATTGATTTTTGTCAAAAATCGAGTAACACGATACTGTTCTTGTTCCGTGCACTGCTAGAGGTGCCGCCATTTTATAGGTTTTTGTTCTTATGTTATCACATTGCATGTGTTGTCAACAGTATTGCCAGTGGCAGTTACTGTTGCCTCTGATTGGAAGTGCTGTGTCAAAATTACCACGCTATTATTCATCCTCTCGACTTTTAATGAGACTTTTCCGGTTTTCTATTCCATGTACAGTACCTTGTAGATCGACTAATTGTGAATTGACGCCACTCGAGTAGAGTCGTAGTTAGTGTCATGTTTGCCAACCACCGCAACTTAGTTTTTGCTCAACATAAAGTACAGTAGAGCGTCGATTATCCGAAGTCAATCATCCGAAAGAATTCCAGTGGGCAAATTTAAATTTTCGCCAGTATTGTGGCGCTTCAATCTTTGGCTATGTCTTCGGCTACTCCAATATTTTACGTTTTTGATACTAAATTAACATCTGAAGTATAATTTTTTATTATTTTTATATTTTTCAATATATTTATTTTGTTTGTACAAAATAAAAAAATAATTTTTAACGATACAATAGTCTTTGTTAGGCTTAACATCGACGAAAATTCAACGCGAAGCGACACGCAACGGAGAAAAATTTCGACATCGGATACGTTAAACTATTTTTTCGTACGTAAATCAGTTATCCGGACAACCCTAGTCCCCAATTGATTCGGAAAATCGACGCTCTACTGTATTTCAGTTTTACTGTCTATTAAAATTTGAATGCCATGTTTATTAATTTAATATTTAAAAATTAATTTATTTAGTGTTAAAAGTTTTCTAACCACTTATTTATAATAATTACAATTCAGAACTTTTAATTATAAAAATGTAAAATATGCAATATATTTAATTTTTATTTGCGATTTTTCGCCATCAGGGGGAATCGTTGTTTGAAATAACGAACTTTTTCGAGTGACGTCATTTCGTCATATAACGGAATCTGGGTAACGTCGATTTCAAGCAATTATATTTTAAAATGCCGAAACAGCGGAAGAATGCATTTTATTTCTTTATGAAGGAATTGCAGGAACGTTATAAGAATGTTACAATGAAGGAAATGCCTGTAATTGCTGATCCTTTTTGGAAAAACTTACCTGATAGTGAGAAAATGAAATATGAAACTATGGCAAGAGAATACAAGAAGGAAGAAAACATAACCGGAAAAATATATTCTGGTGTAACGTTTTCCGATAACATTGTACATGATAAAGAAGATGAAGAAGAAAAGGCAGAGGAAGCAATGAAATTTGTCGAAAGATACATATTCCAAATGAAATCTGTAGATGAAGTTAAAGAGACACATTTCTTCATTATAGATTTTAATGTTTTATGCTGCACTGATGATGAATATATTCCATTAGAAGTTGGAATTATAAAATATTCAATAAAAGGAGGAATTGAAGATTGTTTTCATACATTTATTAATGCTGGACCTATACCTATTGGATATAGTCGAACTGCAATGCAGCATAGTGATGACACTCATAAAATTCCTGTATCACAGTTTACATTATCAGAGAGTAACTATTTAAAAATTTGTAAAAGTATTGAAAACTTCGTCAATTCGGGAAGAAATGAAATTGCACCCGTATTTTGTTTAGAGGAAAATATAAAACAGAATCAAGGTTGTCTGGATTGGCTTTGTAAGAAAGCAACTTATTACAATATACAAAATATACAATGTTATAGCTTGGTTTATCTTTTAATGGAACTTAGGGCTTATGTTCATCATGCATTTCCATGTAAAATTGCTGCAGCTGATATGTTAAATTCTTATGCCTATGATTACATAACTAAAACACGTTGTGATTATCATGAAGATCTTGATAATATATATTGTGCACTTGGATCTGCCAAACGTTTGTGTTTTTTGCTTTCTGATGCTGTTTGTCTATTCTATGGAGTTGACTGCACTTCAAAACATTTACCTCCAAGAATTGATGATGGCACAAAATTTAAAATTTACAAACCCAAGCTTCCGCCACCATTGCCAGTTAAAACTGTCGTTGATATTCCAGTGAAACTTCTCAAATCTCATGTTATCACTACAATTATCAAAAAAGATAGAGCTAACAACAATATATCCCATGATTTCCATGCCCATTCAAATTCACCTAGTTACCATGCTAATAAACCAGATAAAGTATTTTCAACTAATGACTTTCCACCTTTAAACGAATCAAAACCAGGAATTGACACCACTGAAGTGAGACAGCCAAATACTTTGAATAAAACAAAAGCGTTTGATTTATTCAAAAAACTTAGCCTGAATCAAGACAAGAGATTTGCAAGTTCGAGTTTAGGACGTGGTATTGGACGTGGGAAAAAAATCCCATAAAATTCATTTTTAACACTGATTTGTTATACAGGTTTTAAAGTACAGAATCAATTTTTCAAGTTGAAAAATGAATGAAATTGTTTTCTTATATCTACTTAAGTTTGCAAATTAAAAAAAAAATATTTATACTGTTCTCATCACAAAAATATAGAAATCACATTTTTACCAGTGATATAAGTTTTGTCACAATTTTAAAACTGTTTTTATGATGATATATGTATTGTTTTTAAACTAAATTTTCAGAAATAAAATCTCATTATAAAATTCAAATCTATAGAAAATCAGAGTTTGTTTTATATTCATTTTAATGAAAGTAATTGTCTAAGATAAATAAAACAGCTCTTAATTTTTCATGTTCTATGTTAACATAGTAAAAAAAAATATGCAATGAATTATATTTGCAGTTTGATAGAAAATTTGAATACCATTTTCTAAATTTATGCATTTGAATTATCAAATGTGTAATTTTTTAAGCACTATAAATGTATTTTGGTCTGATATAAATGTTACTGTTGCTATTTGGATTTGATATTTTTATGTAAAATTTACATGCTATTTTTAAAATAACTTTTGAAAATGCAAAAATAGATTTTAAAAAAATTATAAAAATTTTCTAAAATAGCAACAGTTATTATTTCAAATTAGGAAATAATAAACAATATTGTTACAAAAGATAGTAGTCTCAAAGATTTGAGACTTTTAACCCAACAAAACTCAATTTTATTCTAACTTAGAACTATTCCCCTTGGAATTCCGACAAAAATCAATCCTTAACTTAGGTACAAAATCTCTTACAACTACAAATCCTAACCGTCACCTCAATTATACTAGGAACCTTTTTCTCAACTCAAGACTTTTCCTATTCCTCAATCCACAAATCGAATACTGCAATCGCCTTAGACTATTTTCCTACTGGACACCTCGTTCACTGCTACTAGCACAACAACACTTATTCTTAGCAGAAGCTCACCTCTGCCGTCTTCACTTGAGCTACGCTATTTATAGTCTGAGGTGACGTCACAGTTTCTAAGTGAGACACTCCCCTCATTTACATACTTACACGTAACATTCACTTTTTTTCTTGTTTATCTGGTAGCTTAATTCCCGACAATACTTTGTTAACCTTTNGTTGTCTGGATTGGCTTTGTAAGAAAGCAAGTTATTACAATATACAAAATATACAATGTTATAGCTTGGTTTATCTTTTAATGGAACTTAGGGCTTATGTTTATCATGCATTTCCATGTAAAATTGCTGCAGCTGATATGTTACATTCTTTTACCTATGATTACGTAACTAAAACACGTTGTGATTATCATGAAGATCTTGATAATATATATTGTGCACTTGGATCTGTCAAACGTTTGTGTTTTTTGCTTTCTGATGCTGTTTGTCTATTCTATGAAGTTGACTGCACTTCAAAACATTTACCTCCAAAAATTGATGATGGCACAAAATTTAAAATTTACAAACCCAAGCTTCCTCCAGCATTGCCAGTTAAAACTGTCGTTGATATTCCAGTGAAACTTCTCAAATCTCATGTTATCACTACAATTATCAAAAAAGATAGAGCCAACAACAATACATCCCATGATTTCCATGCCCATTCAAATTCACCTAGTTACCATGCTAATAAACCAGATAAAGTATTTTCAACTAATGACTTTCCACCTTTAAACGAATCAAAACCAGGAATTGACACCACTGAAGTGAGACAGCCAAATACTTTGAATAAAACAAAAGCGTTTGATTTATTCAAAAAACTTAGCCTGAATCAAGACAAGAGATTTGCAAGTTCGAGTTTAGGACGTGGTATTGGACGTGGGAAAAAAATCCCATAAAATTCATTTTTAACACTGATTTGTTATACAGGTTTTAAAGTACAGAATAAATTTTTCAAGTTGAAAAATGAATGAAATTGTTTTCTTATATCTACTTAAGTTTGCAAATTAAAAAAAAAATATTTATATTGTTCTCATCACAAAAATATAGAAATCACATTTTTACCAGTGATATAAGTTTTGTCACAATTTTAAAACTGTTTTTATGATGATATATGTATTGTTTTTAAACTAAATTTTCAGAAATAAAATCTCATTATAAAATTCAAATCTATAGAAAATCAGAGTTTGTTTTATATTCATTTTAATGAAAGTAATTGTCTAAGATAAATAAAACAGCTCTTAATTTTTCATGTTCTATGTTAACATAGTAAAAAAAAATATGCAATGAATTATATTTGCAGTTTGATAGAAAATTTGAATACCATTTTCTAAATTTATGCATTTGAATTATCAAATGTGTAATTTTTTAAGCACTATAAATGTATTTTGGTCTGATATAAATGTTACTGTTGCTATTTGGATTTGATATTTTTATGTAAAATTTACATGCTATTTTTAAAATAACTTTTGAAAATGCAAAAATAGATTTTAAAAAAATTATAAAAATTTTCTAAAATAGCAACAGTTATTATTTCAAATTAGGAAATAATAAACAATATTGTTACAAAAGATAGTAGTCTCAAAGATTTGAGACTTTTAACCCAACAAAACTCAATTTTATTCTAACTTAGAACTATTCCCCTTGGAATTCCGACAAAAATCAATCCTTAACTTAGGTACAAAATCTCTTACAACTACAAATCCTAACCGTCACCTCAATTATACTAGGAACCTTTTTCTCAACTCAAGACTTTTCCTATTCCTCAATCCACAAATCGAATACTGCAATCGCCTTAGACTATTTTCCTACTGGACACCTCGTTCACTGCTACTAGCACAACAACACTTATTCTTAGCAGAAGCTCACCTCTGCCGTCTTCACTTGAGCTACGCTATTTATAGTCTGAGGTGACGTCACAGTTTCTAAGTGAGACACTCCCCTCATTTACATACTTACACGTAACATTCACTTTTTTTCTTGTTTATCTGGTAGCTTAATTCCCGACAATACTTTGTTAACCTTTTACAGTCTTTTGTGGAACAATTATCAGGATGTTTCCTTTAAGGTTTAACAAGTTCCTAAAAGTCTGTGGGGTCTTCCCCCCTTAAGTGCGGGCTTACTATCTGCCGGTTGGGGCGTGCACGTGAGTGCGAATGCTAGCTATGGCGCTTTCTTTTTTTTTTTTTTTCGTCGTCGGTGAGTTGGTTTTATCTTCACTTTTTAACTTTCCAAGGTGAAAGACGAGACCAGCTGAGAAAACCTTAGGAACAGAAGGACTGCGATTAACTGTATACAAACTTCTAATACAAATCGGAGGTCATATTATTTCAATTCAAAATTTGTCCCCGAAAGGTGTTAGATAGATGTCTGGCACAACTCTATTGCTAACAGACAAGTATGATGTACAGGCAAGCCACTACTAATTTCAGGTGGAGAGCATAAATTTTATATTAATTTAAACAAATTAAAAATATGATTAAACTTTCCAACCAGGTATCCTTGACGATGCCACAATAAATAATTGCTCATTTTGTTTAAATCTAAATTGATGATATTTTTGATCACATTGTCTTGATTCCATATATTCAACATATTAAACTTTTAATAGTGTAGAAAGGTTCTTCATCCATATCGGTTTTTCACAATAAGAGTGTTATATAAAATCGAGGATTACAGTGGTTTTCATTGATATTAAGGAATATACAGTAGTACGTTTTGGATCAAGCTCCTCAATTGTCTTGCGACAATAAAAATATAAAATAAAAAGTAATATGAATATTTAAATCAGATTACAGTAGAGCGTCGATTTTCCGAATCAATTGGGGACTGGGGTTTTCCGGATAACTGATATTTCGGATAACTGATTTACCTACGAAAAAATAGTTTAACGTATCCCATGTCGAAATTTTTCTCCGTTGCGTGTCGCTTCGCGTTGAATTTTCGTCGATGTTAAGCCTAACAAAGACTATTGTATCGTTAAAAATTATTTTTTTATTTTGTACAAACAAAATAAATATATTGAAAAATATAAAAACAATAAAAAATTATACTTCAGATGTTAATTTAGTATCAAAAACGTAAAATATTTGAGTAGCCGAAGACATAGCCAAAGATTGAAGCGCCACAATACTGGCGAAAATTTAAATTTGCCAACTGGAATGATTGACGTTTCGGATGATTGACTTTCGGATAATCGACGCTTTACTGTATTTAAATCTAAAAAAATAAAAATAAATTGCTTTTTAAGAATTGCAATAATACATTTACTAGTGAAGGCTACTAGTTTCGATCACGTGATTACAACACTAAAATCAATCGTTTGCGTAATATCTTATTCAAAGATATTTTCGCTTTAAGTAAAACCCGCATTAGTCATATATTTAGTGAAATATGTTGCAATACAAAAGCGGAACTGAAACTGCATCCTGATCTAACATTTTTTGTATTTACAATAAGTCATTTGATAGATAAGAGTAAAGCATGTACTGTATTTACGTGACACGAAACGCAGTTTGTGCATTACAGTAGATTCCCCTATAAGACTGGTTCCTATAATTACGATTCCTATAAGACGGCGAAAAAATTGTGGCGGTATCCGTACACAACGGTAAAATAACTCCTATAATTAAGTAAAACGTCATCGGGCAGCCGAACTACTTTCCCGCCGTCCGTAGCGCCACGCTACGGACGTTTAGGCGGGTAAATTGAGTTTAGTTTCGTCTGTACATATAATTATATATAAATTAGGTACTGTACATATAATTATATATAAATTAGGTAATGTACGTATAATTATATATTAACTTAATTTATTGTAACTTTATTATAATTATATATATGCTTTCCGCCGTCTAGCGCTACGCTACGGAGAGTTTAGGCGAACTATCGTCTGTACAGTNACCTTAATCAAGGGCAATAATCTACACACTCTCGCCACTGAGATCAGGAACATCATCAACAGCACTAGTAATACCATCTCCATTACCTGGACTCGTGCCCATCAGGGCACTCCTGGTAATGAGCGTGCGGACCAGCTTGCCAAAGCAGCCACCACGGACAATACCATCCCCATCATCTACGACAAGATCAGCAAGCACACCTTACGCCAGCTCCTCTGGAGGGACACCCTCTCTACTTGGCAAAGCATTTGGAACAGTAATAACACCTGCATTACGTATAACTATATTCCAAACATTAGTGACTTTATGAAGCTTGACTGGTTTGCGCCGAGCTACCATACTACTCAGTTTCTCACTGGACATGGAAAGTTCAGTGCTTATCTCTCCCGCTTCACTAACCATCCTTCACGTCTTTGTCCTTTCTGTCAAGTTGAGGACAGCGGGACTCATTACATTTTTGACTGTCCCACTCTTGAAGCAGAGCGACTGGAGATTAGAATCCTATCACAGAGCCTTGGCACCACTTGGCCATGCCGTCACTCCGACCTACTTGCTAACAAGGATATCTATCTCGCCTTCTCCAGACTGGCGAAGAAATTCTGCAAATTGTCACTTGTAACGGCTTGATCTTGTAACATGTTACTCCCAGCCATACTGCTGTCTATGCATATACTTCTACTCCGGTTTTACATCACTTACATGTCTTTGTACCTTTTATTGTCTTGTCATGTTTTATTTCTGTATTGTACTGTTCTGTTATGTATTGCATTTGTATTGATTTGTTTTTATTCTGTATTCTGTAATACTTAGGTTTGTTCTGTGTATCGTATTATTATTATATTTTACATCACTCTACTGTATTGTCACTACTTTGTCACATATCTTTATATATCCTGTATTCTACCTTGGTCATGCTTAACGCGACACCAAGTATGTACGCTGTACTTTAATAAATAATACTGACTGACTGACTGACTGCTGAGCTGTTCCGCGACGAAAACAAGCTTGAGCAACGGCGATGTCGAACGGTGCACACTCGGTAAGTAATCCTACAATTTTTTGTTTATAGCGTAGTTTATACGAATTATTTCCAAAAAATATACGTGTTTTGGAAATGTTGAGTCGAATTAGTTTAAAATCGATTAATTTTATGGAAGAAAACCTTTCAAACAGCCGTAGTCCGTAAACTTCACACGTATCGGGCTGCGATTGGCTCATGTATTTAAGGTTTCCTACAACGTGAAATTCGTAAAACGTGGAACGTATCTACGCGTTATAGGGGGGTCTATTGTATTTATGATGATTAATAATATAAAAGCTATTTTTAAAATAAAAATTTCATAACGGTCGGGAAAATTACGCAACTCGTTGCTGGATTTTTTTAAATATCTAGCTAGCAAAATTTAAAAATTATTATTAGCAATTTTTACGCGAAAAGTGTTGACGAAATTAATTTCGTAAAATTATATGCAAGTGCTTGTATGAGTAGTTACATGTTACGATATTAAATTACATTAGTATATAATTTAATATCGTAATAATTAATTTGAGAGAAGACGTATTGATCAGTTTACATCATATTGAAGCTAATAATACAGTAGTTGGATTCTGTTGAATAATTTTAAGTTTTAAAAATAAAATTTTCAGTGTGATAAGTATGTAAGGAATATAAAATTACCTTAATTTTTCACGAATCTAAATAGGTTAAACTCTTTATGTCCTTTGGGCGCTAAGAGAGTTTTTATAGTATGCCCATTATGGGTTCGGCCACGATGAGGCAGCAGGGAAAAATGGGACACGACCGGAACCGTAATAATTGCACTTGCAGATCACGCAATGTGGGGATTCCTGCAATATTGAGGCCCACAACTGAAAAGCATTTTAATGTTATTTTTAAATCGTATAACTCAAACTTAAGTATGTTTATTGCACGTAATTACATCGGCTACACAGAAATATAAGAATAAAGAAACGAACCGAATACAATTATTTAGAGCGATTACATAGAAAAGACTATTTAAGCGGACGCTATTAAAAACTATTTCAGATTGTATTTATGTGTCCGAATGTGTTAAAGACCGTCTGGAGATTTGCTACTGGATTTTTAAAAGTGAAAGAGATCCTCCGAAACATTTTGTGAGTGAATCCTGCAGTTTTCCGTTACGGTCCCGGACCCGACATATCAAGACGAAACACTCCCGAAAATCTTCTGGAATTTTTCGACTCGTGCGGATTCAATCCCGGTTTCCCCAAAGCGAATAGGCTGCTACATTAAGCTCATTCATCCGGAATATTGTGGCTGAAATTTCGTGATTCGATGAGATTTACGTGAGAAATTTTATGATTCAAACCAGTACCCGAGGTGGCGGCGGCGGCAGACCATTTTTTATACGATTACTACTGAAGAAGTACTAATCGTATGAAAAATTTTTGAAATTTCGTCAAACCCGAACGACGGGAATATTTTTCTAGTAATTAAACGTTGTCGACGTCTTTATTTTAAATTTCGAATTTATTATTATTATTATTATATTTTTTTATTTTTCGAAGAGCCGTAACCTGCGGCCAGGTGGTGCACGAAACGAGAGGGAAAAGTATCCCGACCGAGCGAGGAAGAGAATAATTATCGCAAATCACAAATGTGGAGGAATGGGAAGATCAAATAGCTGCGAATATTTGAATTAATCGAGTCTGGTGGTATCGAAACAGTTAGATTCCGGTAATGTCTGAAGACAAAAAGGCGAGTGACGTTCCAAGCGGCTCTTTCTTCCTCCCCTCTTTTGTTCGCTATCGAACGGGCCTAATGGACCCCTTCCTTTCTCGCCACACTGGCGATTTCCCTCCTTCCCCACCAATTATTTCGCCCGGATTGATTCTCGGACGTCTCCTTCCATCATCCTACACCCTAAATTCGCTAATTGTTCGCAAAGTGCAGGCTGGCGGACTTAACGAAATGCCGTCGAACCCGGTCCAATGGCCGTTCGGACCGCCGCGAAACTGATTAGTTTCTCGTCCAATTGGCATTTTCCCCCCGGTATAACGCTTTACGTTATCGTTAAGCGGCGAATATTGAAAGTCCGAGTAAACTTTCGTGGCTAAAATTCGTTTTATCCGGGATTTTATAGTTTAATTAATAATGTAGTTCGTTATTTGTTGTATATTTTACGTATTCTCTTGCCGAATTTCTTACAGAAAAATTAATTTAATATGTGGATCGAAGAGCCAAATTTTTCCAACGGTTGGGTTAATGTTGCGGTTCTGGACGAGGGGTCGGAAACACCTAGGCTGCCGCTCCCGCGGGCGCTGTCCGAAGCTCCGACGAGATTGCCGCCGCTTCGTTTGGAGCTGCGTCCGTACGAGCGGGTGGAGTCTCTTAAGTGCCGATTTTTTCGCAGAGCTTTGAAGACGAGCGGATTGTTCCTTTACGGATTAGTTGTCGGTGGTGCGTTCGAAAATACCCAAAAGGGGATTGACTTAAAAATTTCGTTGAATAAGCTATTGCTTTTAGCCCTAATGTTGTTATACTCTTAGTCTATATCGATTAGATACGTATACGTGAGGGCTTATTGCACCGGTGTGATAAGCCCTGTGTATACGTGTCTGATTGATATAGACTAAGAGTAAATTAAAAATTTTAAATATTTGAATAATGAGTATCTTTTAGTGACGTGTATGTGATTGTTGTGTCGAGGATGGTCCGATAGACCTTATTTGCCATTGTTTGTAAATGAAGTTTTGAAGTTTGAATGAATGAATTTTAATTTTTTTGTGTCGGCGAGAGGGCTTAAGCTCCTCCGACCTTCTCCCTTGTAAATTTTGTAAGAGCACGTTTTGGAGAGTGGGGCTTCGGATGATGTGACGAGATCGAGTCCGGTCGGGAAATTGTCTTTGCTTTGGCACCGACGGACGTACCTCGGAATCGTGGGGGTTTTATCCTCCGCCTGGATCGACTGCGGAATCGGGTGGCTTTTTTAGTTGTCTCGCCATTTGTTAATTTTTGAAGTACGATTAGTGATAGTGATGATCCATATTTTGCATCCGTTGATGCCCTGTAAATAAAACTTGTAAATTTAGACGATTACTTAATTTTCGTTATTTGCACGTGGAATTTATTATTTGTGGATATTCTGTATTTGTGAGGAATAATTGACCTGAAACTTGAAAGTTAGTGAATATTATATGATGATTGTTTCAGATTTTGGTTCTAGGTTTTTGAATTAAAATGATTTAAAGACAAATTTAGATGTTTTTACATATAAATTGAAATGATCTGAGAATGATCTGAGACATGTGAAGTGACAAAAAAACAGAAATAATGCAGTCAAGAGAATTGTTTCAATGTTGTGGTCTGCATGAATAATTGTAGAATTTTATCTCTGATGCTCTGTGTCCTGCTAGATCATATGTGGTCTCCGCATAAGTTAAGTAAAAAGAAAAGTAGACATGGATGCAACTTTTTGAGGGATGTCTTACAAAACTCCTTGTGCAGTATTGAATGATTTGCAAACATCAATAGTAATTAGTTTTCCTTACAAGAGGTGAAAAAATGCCGTCTTATATGATGTAAGATGCATTATTAATTTGGTTTTCATTGATAGAGGGTATCCCATTAACAGAATGGGACACCCTCTCTCAATGGATGCTAGCCAGTGTGCCATTGACAACTTTTTTTATGGTGCTTGTTAAATCTTATATCTTTGCCAACAACCTACAAACAATTCTTGACCTCGAGACAGATTCTAGCCTTCAAAATTTCAGGGCCCACTTTTAAATAGATGACAAAAAATTGTATTTAATATGAACTAAAATTGCACAATTAATTTTGATTTTTTAAATAAAAAAAAATATTATTTAACAGCATTAAAATTATTTCTTTTAAATTCTTAATTACTTTAAAAATGCATACATTTTATCTTTAACAAAGAACACGTTGTTTTTTAATATTAAAAAAAATTGTTTAATGAATGATTTTATAAATAAAAATTCAGAAGCTTTTGCAAAATATATATCCTCAATAAATTCGTTAAATAAATCTTACAATTATTTTATAAGAATTTATTAATTATTAATGAATTGATAAGAATAAAGTTTTCGTATAAGTTTACATAAGTTCCGTAAAATGATCATATAGTATTTTAAAAAGTTACAGGTTTTCTTTGATTTCAAGTTTCTTTTCAAACACATTAATATTCAATATAACTTAAGTTGAATGTATGCAACAATAAAATCATCCTACACAAGTATATATTACTTTGACACTGCATTAAAAAGATTAGAAAAGGTTTAATACCTTCCTGACTTACTCTACAATACCAAACTCTATGAATAAATTATAGTGTCTGTTGTTGGAAACTATGAGGGTAAATCGAAAATTATCCACACTTTGGTTGTAGAATTTATTGTAATCAACCTTCAGTAAGTCAAGTATATCATTTCTCGACATAATCGCCCTGCTTTTCAATACACTTTGTCCATCTGTCCACAAGTTTTCCTTTTCCTTCGTTAAATGTTTTGGCTGAGCTTGAATGCACCGCTGTCTTAACATTGTCATCAGATGTGAATCTTTGTCCACATAGCATTTCTTTTAGGGAACGAAGATTCACATCTGACGACAATGTTAAGACAGCAATACATTCGTGGTTTGCGGTTCAGCTAAAAATATTTTTTAATGAAGGAATAGGAAAATTTGTGGATAGATGGACAAAATGTATCTCTTATGTCAGATTATAGTCATAATGAATGTCTGTCTAAGAAATCTAATTCCAAATTCATGTGTCTCTTCACAAAACCGAGATGACTTTTACATTTCCTTTCTTAAAAAAAAAACTAATTATTTCTGCTGCATCTGTTTAAAAGCAGATGATCTAAAGCTGAATGTGACAACAATATATTACAAAACTGAAATAACTAAAAAAAACCCACCAAAACATTTTTAAAAATACACGTGCAAATGCAACTTTTGTCAACTTTGCCTATTGAACAGTCAGGATGCTGTCCTATCTGAAGTAATTGTCTCTAGAACAAAAAATGAGAGGTGATTACAATAGCATCTCCCAAATCATATTATCTAGTAACCTTGCCTTATATACAGGGTATTACTAAAGAATACCCCAATGTTGAAATGCTATATCTCTGCAACCAAACAACTTATATATCGTTCCACAAATCATTGTATAGGAAATGTTCTGAAGTTTCAATTGTTTGTGGAAGGATGTTGCTACAAGTGCCCTTAATCACATTACAAGAGTGTGTCATCAGTGTGCCAAAATGGCAACTGCACAACAGAAGGCATTCTGTGTTATTGAGTTTGCTAAAACTGAATCGGTTAAAACTTCAACATATGACAAAATGCATGTTGAACAGTCCCAACTGATTCAGTTTTAGTAAACTCATTAACACAAAATGCCTTCTGTTGTGCAGTTGCCATTTTGGCACACTGACAATACACTCTTGTAGTGTGATTAAGGGCACTCGTAGCAACATCCACAAACAACTGAAACTTCAGAGCATTTCCTACACAATGATTTGTGGACCAGTCTATAAGTTGTTTGGTTGCAGAGATAGTCTTTCAAAGTTGAGGTATTCTTTCATAATCATCCTGTGTATATTTCAGTCATATCATTGATGTCATAAGTTAGTCTAGAAAAACATTATTTACTAAACATAAATATACAGATTACAAGATATCTTCTCAGCAATCAACTGAAAAAAGTCTAAAAAAAAAGAAAAAATAGGTTCACTTTCCAGTTGTGTTTGGCCTAACTGAAGGGGTGTAAGAAAAAGTTTTGGAGAGTTAAATATTACAAAGATTGTTTTGCATTATTTGTGAATGTGATCCCTATCTACTTAAACTTCTTTGCCTGTCTTTACATGTTGACAGAGTTTCAGTAGAGAGCAAACACGAATGTTAGTGATATGCTTATAGTAGGATGCAGAACAGTTTTACATACTTTATTAAAAAGGCATGCCAGAAAAGGCGGGAATATGCTCATTCTGTGTTCAATCTCCTGCCATTAAAGGGCATGAGATTGAACACTGAATGAGCATATTCATGGAGGTTATAGGCTTCTACAGGAATTAAGCACTGCTAATTTTCACTAAAGACACGATAGCATGTTTCTTTGAATATCTTTTATTTTGTTTTGTTTTTAGTGTGTGACATGATCAAATTTTTTCAAAAATAACTTGGAAAAATGAAAGTTACTTGCCATATGAACAATTTTTTTGCTCACTGTATAATACAAAACTAATTTCCATTTTCTCCAATTTATGGAATATCTTGATGCCTTGTTCTTAACCATTTCCTTTTCATGTTATACACAGATTTTATTATAAATAATATTACCATCTCTTATGCTATTTTATATGCTGATGATACAAGAGTAGTAAATAGTGATCTCATAGTTTTACAGACGTTTGCGTCTTAACTAAGAATCTCGAGGCTTTCAATCTTTCCTGTAATTTTGATAAAGCAGTTGTGTGCTTTGCATAAATAAGAAATCTTTAATTCCAGTTTATATTAATGGGCATCTTTTTAAATGCAGTGGGTGATCGGTTAACGAACAAATCGGATAACTAACACTTTCGCGAAAGATTTTTATGATTGGACAACGGACACTTCACTGAACAAACATAAAAAGAAGCAGCGGAAAATAACGAATACGACTGATTTTCCCTTGTCTTCAGGTAACAATTCGAAGCCTTTTGGAGCACAGGAGACGTCAACATCAACACTCAACCCAATACCGATCAGATAGTGTTTCCCTGAACTTTGAAACTCTCCATTGTAATTCCAGCTTTTTGTTTACTTTTCTGACAAATAATTTTTTTATAGTCTTCGGGCGCTCATTAAGTTTTGCGTTGGTTTTTATTTTCTAAAGGTGAGAGTTTAACTGTCCTATCGAGTATTCGTTAACATTTTAAAACCAAAATTTCGAATTACATTCAGGCCTCACATTTACATAATACTTTCATGCGCTAGTTGATTTCTGTTCTCTGAATTTTTGTGCTTTTCTGAACTTTTTATTTCAAAAAGAAATTGATAATAATATGGAGCCTAAAAAGAGTGGAGTGTCAAGAAACATGCTCACCATAGAAACCAAGCAAGATATAATAGCCAAAGTAGAGAGTGTGCAGAAAATGTCTGACGTTGCTAGGCAGTATGGCTTGAACAGGTCTACAGTAGGCACAATCTTAGCTAAGAAAGATATAATCAAGAAGACTCAAGTAGCTAAAGGAGTCATGAAAAGCACATCTGAGAAACAAAGATGTTCCATCCATGAAAAAATGGAGAGATTGCATTTAATTTGGATAAAAGAAAGGGAAATGAAAAAATATGTAACTAGTATGACTATCATTTAAGAGAAAGCTAGAGAAATTTTTGAAGAACTGAAGAAACAAACTCCACATTTGTCACGAGGAGATAGAATTCAAAGCTACCACTCGATGGTTTGCAAAGTTTAGAAGGAGAACTGGCATTAAACATATGGTAATTCACAGTGAGTCTGCTAGTGCAGGTAAAGAAGAAGCTGAGAAGTTCTGTCTCAAATTTGAAGAATTCATTAAAAAAGAAGGATATTGTCCAGAACAAATTTTCAATTGTGATGAAACTGGTTTATTTTGGAAGCGCATGCCAAACCGTACCTACATTATGAAAGGAAGGAAAAATATTCCTGGGCATAACCCCATGAAAGACCAGTTGATGTTACTTTTGGGAGCTAATGTAGCGGTGATATTAAGCTTATCTCGCTTCTTGTCTAACCCTCTGAGAACCGTAGAGCATTCAAAAAAAATTCCATAATTAAAGAAAAACTGCCAGTGATGTGGAGATCAAATAAAAGGGCATAGGTTACGCAGGCTCTTTTCAAAGAATGGCTGTTTGAAGTTTGTGCTCCAAGCATCAAGGATTACCTTCAGACCAATGAATTGCCATTAAAAGCACTGTTGCTATTGGACAATGCACCAGGACACCCAAAAGAAGACCTTGAAGATAATTTGCTGGAAGACTTTCCCTGGCTGACGGTTCAGTTTCTACCTCCGAATACCACTTCGTTGATCAAGAGGTTATTGCAGGTTTCAAGAAATTGTACATCGGTGTTTTGAAGCATGCCAGTTCTCCTCAAAGATGACATTAAAAACATTTTGGAAAGAAAAATTTGATATTTTTGAAGCAATACAGCTCATTCAAAAAGCATGATCAGAAGTCACTTAACAACAGTTGAATTCTGCTTAGCGAAAGCTGTGTCCCTCCTGCATTCAGGGAGAGAGAGATGATGTCTCTGAAGTTATGGATGAAATTGTGACAACTGCTAGAGATCTGGAATTGGAGGTGAATAAAGGTGACATATAATGGGAGCTGAAACTGATCTGACGACAGAAGAACTCCAAGAACTCTTAATTAAATGAAGAACACAAAGAAACTCAGCGAGATGTGTTTTCTTCTGAAAAAGAGGAAGGTGAAAAAAGATCAGTGCCAACATCTGCTATTAAAGATCTTTTGAAGAAGTGGGAGGATGTTAGAACAACAGTCTTAGAATGGCATCCAAACCAAGTTGAGGTTAATAGCTTTGGGATCTCTACGACGACAATGCTATTAATTAATTCCGAAAAATCCTGAAGAGAGAAAAGCAATTGACATTGGACAGATTCTTTAACCCCTACAAACGGAAAAAACGTGACTAATAAAAATGCAAGACTGTGTATATATGTATTTTTATTATTACATATAAATAAACATAGCAAGAAAGTATATATTTTTTACTTTTTGGAGTCTCCAGAACAAATTAATCAAATTCCTATGAAAACCTATGGTAAATAGATAATTGGTTGATGAATGAAGTCTTGGAACAGATTACGGTCATTAATCGATCACCCACAGTATATCGATAGCTGACGTTGGCATTTTATTTGACCAATGTTTAGGATTTTTAAAACATATTGATAAAATTATCAATAATATGGCCCCATTTTCATTCTCTCTCTTTCTGTGTCATCCCTGAGATCTTTCTTCATGAATTTTAAATTGATAATTGATTATTTATATATGCTTTACTACTACTATCATGGAAAATAAATACACTCAACAAAGTATGCTTCCTTTTAACAAATTATCTAACTTGCCTTGTACTGGTGAAGTAGCTAGATAGACTTGGTGTACCCTATTTTTTTTTCTTTGTTTTATATATTTTGACCATGTTTTACATTTAAATTATTTAATGGTACTTTTTTTTCTAACAAATGTACTTTAAGAATCTCATCCTATTTAACTAGAATACTCGTTGGGCAATTCCTAAATTTACTATCGGTAAATATTTCTAGGAGCTCCTTCTCTCCTTCAGAGCAATTCAAAATATGTATTGGTTAGAAAATATTTTATTTTATTCTGTAATTTTACTTATTTTAAAAGTAAATGCAAATGTCTGTCTTATTGTTTTTATGATTTTTATTCTTAGGTTTTGCTCAGTTAGTAATTCAGATCTTTAAATTTTATTCTTTTACTATATGTTTATATATTTTGTAATGTAATGTATTGAAATTTTTATAATATTTTATAGTTTGTTTTATATTGTATTTTTTTTAACATTTTAATACATTGTACATTTAACTTTATTTTGTATTTTTGTTTAATTTTTTGACTAACTTTAATTTGAGGACAGTTTGCACTAGTCCTGCTGTAACAGAGAATACAGAGCACATATTACAGGTAGCATGTACTTTTTCAGCTGCTGCTGTAAGAAACAGAGGACAAAAACAAATATGAACTTTATACTTTAAATCACCATCTGCATTCTTCTTGACACACAACAACCATTTGCATTCAATAAAATTTCTGTCTTTTGGGGGAGAGACCAAATCCCATACTTTGTTTCCTTTTTAATAATTCAACTTTATCATTCAACGTCGATTCTTGCTGTTTGGTACGTTGCATGCTATTACTCCTCCTTGATAAGTTTGAAGTTTACTTGTTTGAACTAAATTTGCTCTTGCGTTTCTTCTTTACGTGTCATCACAGTTAATGAATTTTGTCCTTAGTCTAAGTTATGTCTGAATCTTTTATTTGTATAATTCTTCCTTGGAATCTACCTTGACATTTGATTTCTTATGTCAATCTTTTTGGATTTCATAGCATGTAATATTTGTTGCTTTCGTCATAACTGACCAACGTTAGTTCATCTTTTGGTTCAAATTTCGGTCTTCGGTGAACTTTAGCATAAGTGCCTGACACAGTCTAGCTATAAATGTTGTAACTTATGCTCACTCACATCACTTCAGACGAATTTCACTTGAAAAATCTCTGAACCCTTTCTCTTGGTGCCATTAGTACTTGCTTGTTTTGTTTTAATCTGAATACTATGTATATTTCTATCTAGATTTGATCATTATCAAATTTACTAATGTTTTTCATAAAAGAAAATTATTGAATTTATTAAATTCGTAGCAGATGCTCATATATAGAAAAACAATGTAGTTAATGAAAGGCTAAGGATAGGGCTGTTAAAAATTTATACGGAAGTATCCGATGATAAATAAATAACGCAGGGTAGATTATTAACAGAAAAAGTTGGGTTTAATTTGATTGCACGTGTCGTCGGTTCACGGAATTTATAAAGCATTTCTTTTATGTAGGCAATTAAACCAGAAAGTGAACAGATAAATTTGAAAGTAGTGGGACAGGACGGAAGTGTAGTTCACTTTAAAATCAAGAAGCATACACCACTTCGAAAATTAATGAGTACATACTGTGACCGTGCGGTAAGTACCTACACGTTTATGGTAATCTCTAAGCAATCGAAAACAACTGAGAGCTTTTTCAAATTTCTTAGGGACTGAACGTGCAAAACGTGAGATTCCGCTTTGACGGACAACCGATCAGCGAAACCGACACGCCGGCAGGTCTGGAAATGGAAGACGAGGACACAATAGATGTTTTTCAGCAGCAGACTGGAGGTCACACATACGATCATTTAGGAAGAAGATAATTCGTCTCTGGAAACAATCTTCCATTTACACGATTTTAAAATTCTGCGTAACTTAAAAAAAAAAAAAAAAAAGAAAAAACGTTTTTGTTTAGCATTGTGGTTTCCTCTTAGTTGTCGAGTGTGTTTTACATTAATTTGAGTACTGTTGTAAGTTTTAGAAATGACGTATAAAATGTTTAATGAACAAAGATTGTCAACAGAATTCATTGAAAAATGTGTGAGTACGTAATGTTTTAATAAACTGAAATTCAAGTAAAGTGTAATTCATTTTTTTTATATGTATAAAATGGAACTATTCAAACTGATTTATTTGAAAAAGCTTGTCTTACAAGATGTGAATTTTCAGCAAAATCAGTTTTATTTCATACATAATGTAAAACTTTTCAAGATTTAAGTTACTTTTAATATTTACAGAGTAAATAAAAACATAAATTGATGCAGGAAAATTTCTTTGGTTCTAATCTTGGTATGTATTAAATACATTCTTAAGAGATGAAGAACTTTCGATAAATCTATGAATAGGCGTAGTTGTTTCTGCTTGCAATATTAAGCTACTACACTTAAATTTCTGGGTGCTCCTCTCAAATGTTCGATGTTTTAAATTGTGTAAAATCCACTCGTTCGGATATATGAATAAAATGTGTCGGAGAACGTTGGCCATCCCAAAGTTTTCTGTGCACGAGCTTGAAAGAACTGCTGCCGACATGCTGTTGTGATTCAGACTTCCGTTGTCGCTCGGTCTAGATTTTTGAGGTCCCGTTTCTTGGTCCTCCCGATCGGCCAACACCGTCTCTTCAAACTTTTTTCTTTGAGAATTGTGTGTATACTACAAAAGTGCCAGGCACAAGAATCCTGCATATAACAATTGTGGATGCCATTAACGGTGTGACTCCTAACACACAGGCTCACGTGTGGGCCAAAACCAAGTACACACCAGATATCATACTTGCTACGTCAGGAGAATATGTAGAAATTTACTGATTTAATATAGTAAGTTTATTAGATGCACTTTCTATTATTGTTGTCTACGGCAGGGGTCTGTAATCTTTTTGTTACTAAGGGCACAGTTTAATTTTTGAAAAAAAATCAATGTTGTAATACATGTAATAACTAATAAATGAAAATTAAAAATACATATATAAAATAACACAAAATTGAATTAAATAAAATTACAAGCATGTTTATACAGTATATCTATGCATGCGTGACTATTGTTCTAGAGCAGTGTTTTTCAACCTGTGGGTCGCGACCCCCAGGGGGGTCGTGAAGTCTTACACGGGGGGTCGCGGGTAAAAGAAAAAGACAAGTGTTTGTAGGTCCTACACTACATTAAAAAAAAACAACAATTTCAGCGAGAAGGCTGTACCTGTTTATTATACAGTACAATTGGTTTTTTGATCGACATTCAGGTCTCAACGATGGGTGTAGCCAGAGATGAGCCCGGGTGGGTACGGGCCACCGCAGAAAATGATAGCCGTAAAAAGTGTTGAGCTGACTTGCAAAAAGAAGTAATAAGTAGAAAAGTAGAAGTTGGAAATTCTCATCCTAAAAAAAAGGTCAACAGCATCCCGAGCCCAATGTTATAATGAAAAGGAAGTTTCATACGTTATGTGTCTTAAGTTATTGTCGATTCTTCGCAAATTCTCGTTTTAATCAACAATAATTTTTCTCAACAGAAAGAAAATTAAATACATAGTTTTTAAAATCACTGATATAGTTTTAATATGGCCCTAGCGAACAGGTAAA